AAACTCAGGTCATTAGGCATGGTAGCAAGTCCCACAACCTGACGAACCATTTCAATAACCCTAATTGTTATGTTCTTTACATGTATTATTTTCTTTGATAAAATATGTACTGTCACCATTTTTAAGTGAGATAACTGAAAGTGAAAAGGCCCAAGTATTTTCACAGAGAGAGCTGCATGATTAGTGTTTGCTTTGTAACAAAAGCATGCTATTGAGGTCTAGCTGGCATATGCAGATCTATAAACATTTAATTCACACTCCTGACAAATGTGGAAATAAGACCATCATGAAGACATCACTCCTATTAAGGCTGTAAACGTGTATATTGCACCAGAAAGATTCTTCTTGCCACATTTATTATATTACTACATTTTTTTTTCTGGTAAAAACTAACATAAGATGTTCCTCATAGCAAATTGGTATACAATATGTATTATTAATCAGAACGATGTTTTATTATAGATATCCAGAACTTATTTATCCTGCATTACAGAAAATTTGTGCGTTGAAAACATCATCTATCCATTTTCTCCTCAGGCCTTGGGAACTATCATTCTACTCTCAGTTCTTATGAGCTGGAGTATTTTAGGGTCCAAATATAGTGAGATCATATAGTATTTATATTCTTGTGTCTTGTTTTTTTTATTCTAAGTACACTCATATTGTTTAAAGTGGTAAAACTTTCTTCATTTGTAAGGTTGAATGATAGTCTCTCTCTCTCTTTCTCTCTCTCTCTCTCTCTCTCTCTATATATATATATATAGTTGAAGTATGTCTCTTCCATGTATATGTCCATACGGTGCATGAATATGCTGATAGTTCTTGGCAAGGCAAGACATAGATCTCTTCATTTCTTTGAGGTCATCCACCAGATGTTTATTTTGTGTCTTAAGTGATGCCATAGTTCTTATGTTCTTTCAAGCCTTGTAATCTTATAACTTTTTGTATAATCATTCCTTCCCTGAATGACTTCTCATAGGGAAAGACATTTACCATTGAGCCTGGCTAGATATTACTTGGGCCACTCAGTGCTTTGCTAAGATTTTTTCTGCTCTTCTCTTGTTACTGTTTCATAAATGAGGGAAGCCTTACAATTTAGTAGCCTTTTTTTCAGTCCTGTAGAACACCAGTCCTCATGTTGAAGGAATTCTATTTATTTTTCCTAGAACAGTACCCCGGAATGTTCAAAGTGTGTGCTTCCTGTCCTCCCAGTACTGCTAAGGTTAGCTGCTTAAGTTTTCACCTGTCACAGAGATATATGTCCTTAATGCAAGAGCCTCCTCAATCCATTTGTGTGGGGGATATATGGGGTAATATCTCTTCACAGCCTATGAGCTGATTGGTGGAATCTGCAGTTGCCTTCTGCAGTACATGATCTCGTGAATGCTCTTTTTGATTTGTTGGCATGTTAGACCCCCTTAGCTGACCTTTGCTGTTCCCACACAGGTATTACAATGCACATGTTGTTGTAAAAATATTGTTTCTCTGGAAGAATAAAAATGAAAACTCCTGTCATCTTATTGACATCATTCTGTTTTGCACATTATATTAATAAACTCTTCATGCCAACTGTGTTGCCCTGCATGCAGACTTCTTAACCTTGCTTCTAATTGTCTACTCTTGGGTCCTAATTACTGTTTTTCATCTATTCTACTATTATTTTTCCATGAATGTAACAATTATAATAATTGTAATATCTAATACTTCTTGATTAATTGCTGTGAGCCACATACTATGGTAAGAACTTTTGATTATTCTTCACAATAATTCTACTAGGTAGCCACCATTGCCATCTTTATTTTACAGCTAAAATATTTGAAATTTGAACTCCCACCCTGAGCTTTATAATCTATCCCACAGCCCCAGAAGCTTTACTGGAGACCAGGCTGGTCCTAGGCACTCCAGGTATGACACTACCTTCTAAAAATTCTTTAACCCACTCAATAACTCCTTGGATCCATATTCCTGCCTACAAGTTCAGAAGAAGACTTAGGCTTTACTAGAGGCCAGGCTGGATCTAGGGACCCAAAGCCCCCACAATTCCAGCCAAGATAAAATACTGGACCTGAATACTCACCAGACACCAGAACCCTTGAACACTTAATATCAGAGAGGAAAAAGAAAACAAAGAAATAAAACACCCACCGAACAACAACAAATGCCAGAATCAACACATAGACCTATAATTATCCCAAATTCAGATGCCTAAACACCAGTGTAGGAAAACAATGAGTAACAGAAAGGTTAATACGGCACCACTAGAACCCAGTGATCCTACAACAGCAAGATATGAACATTCCAATGAGGCTGAAGCACAAGAAAACCTTAAAAATAACTTTATGATGATGATAGAGGTCCTTAAAGAGAAAATAAAAAAATCCTTAAAGGAATTGAGGACAAAGCAAACAAAAAATTGAAGGAAATCAATAAATCCCTTAAAGAATGCAAAAAAAAAAAAAGCCAAGAAGAAACAAACAGACAGGTCAAGGAAATGGTTCCTGACCTGAAAATGGAAATAGAAGCAATAAAGAAAACTCAAACTGAGAGAATTCTGGGAATGGAAAATCTGGGTAAGTGAACAGGAACTGCATATGTAAACATCAGCAGCAAAATACAAGAGATGGAAGTGGGAATCTCATGTATTGAAGACAGGATGGAGGAAACAGATTCATCAGCCAAGGAAAATCTTAAATCCTATAAATTCTTAACACAAAACATCCAGGAAATCTGGGACACTATGAAAAGACCAAACCTAAATGTAATGGGAATAGAAGAAGGAGAAGAATCCCAGCTCAAAGGATCGGAGAATATATTCAATAAAATCACAGGAGAAAAATTTTCACAACCTAACAAGGGCATGCTTGTAAAGGTACAAGAACCTTACAGAACACCAGATAGACTAGACCAAAAAAATTGTCCCCTAGTCACATAATAATAAAAACACAAAATATACAGAACAAAGAAAGAATATTAAAATCTGCATGGGGATCAAGGCCAAGAAACATATAAAGACAGACGTATCAGAATTAAACTTGACTTTCCAACAGAGTCTCTGAAAGCTAGAAGGGCCTGGACAGATGTCTTGCAGACTCTAAGAGATCACGGATACCAGCAGGACTAATATACCCAGACTTTCAACCAGAATAGACAGAGAAAACAAGATATTTCAAGACAAAGTCAAATTTAAACAGTATCTATCCACAAATTCAGTCCTATAGAAGGTACTAAAAGGAAAACTTCCACCCAAGGAAGTTAGCTACATCCATGAAAACACAGACAATAGATAATCTCACACCAGAAAAGTCCAAAGAAGGGAAGCACAGACACACATATGCACACACACACACACACACACACACACACACACTGCCACCACCACCAAAAAACTAACAGGAATTAACAATCACTGGTCATTAATATCCCCTGATATCCATGGACTCACTTCACCAATAAAATGACACAGGCTAACAGAAGGGATATAAAAACAGGATCCATCTTTCTGCTGCATATAAAAACTACCCTTCAACACTCAAGTGTGATTCTTAAAAAATGGATACATGAGATGGGGCTCAGGGGAGAGGTCCTCGCCAGAGATGTGACAGTTTGTGCTCTTCAAACATTAGGATTTTGAAATAGGTGGTAGATGCAGACGGCACCCACCCCTCCAGACTTTTGGGTATGCAGGGCCCACAATCATTCATGAGTCCTCCTGGCACCTCTGACGCCCGACAATCAGGTACCATCATACCAAATAACTTCCCGAGGTCTCTAGGTCTGGGTACAGAAGAATGGAAAGACAGCAGCTCTTCTTATGGCTGGGACGGACAGTACTCAACAAAGTGACACCTGTGACCCAGCCATGAGCCCTGGTGCTGGGTGGGTGGGTACTACTGTAGTGAGAGAGTACAGGGTAGGGAGGAAGAAGAGAGGGAGAGGCAGAATGGTTTGTGGGCTGGGGAAACAGGTGGATCCGGAGAGGTCAGTGTCATGAGAAACGGGCTGAAGTGAATGGCCAGCTGGCTACCCAAGTCCAGGGAGTTGTCTGGGCCTGCGTTATGACCAAGTGTCAGGTCTTGATCAGGGAACTGGAGCAGCTGAAAGGGCCCATGTTGGTGTCTGTGGCTCCTATCACTGTGAGTGAGCCTGCGGTCTGGGCTGCCACTTGGGGTCATGGTGATAACCTGGCCCAGCCTACTGCTGAGGACCAAGATCTGGGTATGTGGTCCTGCTGTGGCTGGGGTCTGTGTTGATGTCACTGACCCATGTTGCCACCAAAGGTCACATAGATGCAACTGGTGGCCATGAGGGCGCCTGAGGGCCATGCTACCACCAGGGACACCCTGGCCTGTGCTTGTTACCTGGGCTAGGGGTGCTGCAGAGGGCCATGTCTGGGTCTGTGGCCCTATAGCAGTCAAGGATCTAAGTTGATGCCCGGGGCTCCTGTGGTTACATAGGACCATGAGGATTACTGGGGTCTGGTCAGCCACCTCAGACCATGTCAGTGCCTGAGGACCATGCTGTGCCCAGGGCCACTCCAATCTGAATGGCTCGTGCTGCCACCTGGAGCCATGGGATGTCTGGCCTCAGGACTCTTCCTAGGGCTATGTCTGGGCCCGTGGCCCTGCAGAGGCTGGGGTCTGAAGTGGGGTCTGTGGCTCTCCTTGCCACCGAGGACTCTATAGATGGCATATTGGGGCCCAGGGGCTATGCCACCTCCAAGGCTGTGCTAATCTGAGGGGCCTGTATTGCCAATGGGGCTGTGGTGGCATCCGGGCCTGAGCTGCTGTGGAGGGCCTTGTCTGGGTCGGTGGTCTTGCTGTTCCTGGTGGTGAAATCCAAGGTCCATATTAGCATTAATCATTGGAACCATGCTTGCTGAGCCAGCCCCACCCTTCACTGGTCCTACCCCTTGCTGGATAGTGCAAGCTGGCCTGCCCCTCAGGGAAGAGCTTGCCTCTGCATGGGGGAAAGATGGCTCCACCCCTCACCATAGGTGTGGGCTGACCTGAGAAACTCAACTCGCTAGAGCTGACCCTGTGGTCCAGGATGCAGGTAAGTTGACCTTCAGTGAAAGAGAGTAGGAGAGCCGACCCCACCCCCCTCATCTGCCGTGTGCTGACATGAATGAGGAAAAGATGCCCCCCCCCTTCTGCATTACTACTGAGGGCAGGCCCTGACCCCGGGGTCACAAGAGAAGGAGAGCTAGTCCTGTCCCTCGCTGGTTGCAGTGTATGAGAAAGCAGCCTCTGCTTCCCATCTGGGCAGCACACTACAGCTGTAGTCAGGGATGCAGGAGAGCCAGCCCTGAGGGTGTAAGACCAATAGAGCTGACCGCACCCCACCTCATCTATCCCCTACAACAGCGAGCGAGCGAGAGAGAGACAGAGAGACAGAGAGACAGAGAGAGGAGAGAGACCTACTGACACCTTGCTTTGGTGAAACAGTAGCTCTGGCCCTGGCAATAGGAGTGGGGGAGACTGGGATCGGAGGGCCCTAAAGCAGGGGAACTGGCATGCCCACTCTTTGCTGCAGCTGCATTGGGTGACCTAGCCTAGGCAGTGATGGAGAGCTCATTTGGGTAGTGACAATAAGGGAAATCTAGTGAGCAGCTACCACCCAGGCCCAGAACCAGGGCTATCCACTGAACCTATGAACTGTTGGAGCATCTGAAGGGGACGAATCTGCAGTTCCAAAACAGCAGGATCTCCATTACACAGGATGACAACAGGATATCCGAGAGGAACCCAGTGAGAGCCCATTACTGGTGGTGTGGCAGAAACCAGAGGCCTCAAGCCAGACCAACGACTCCTGGCAATGAACACTTGCAGGTAAAGATGCAAACACTAAAGGGTAACCTGTGTGTCTCAGAGGGCCAGACTGCAGCTTCCATGACAATATTCTTCTTCTCTTTTGTTTTTGTTTTGCTTTGTTTCTTTGTTCTGCTTGGTTTTTGATTTTTCTTTTAAATTTGGTTTTATTTTGGAGGGAGGTTGCAAGGGCAGAGGGCAGACGCGAGGGAACAGGGAGATGAGTGGGATCAGAACGTATGATGTGAAATCCACAAAGAATCAACAAAAGTGAAAAAAAGAAACATCCCTCATCAACATCAAAGATAGATATTTCCTCAGAGTTAGAAAAGGGTAGAAAAGGATTTTCCAATCAAGTGAACCTAAGACGAAAGCTGGTATAGCTATCCTCATATATAACAAAATAGACTCCAAACCAAAATTAATCAAAAGAGAGAAGGACATTTCCTACTTATCAAAGGAAAAAAACATCAAGATGATGTCTCACTTCTGAACATCTATGCCTCAAATGCAAGAGCACCCACATTTATAAAAGAAACAGTACTAAAGCTTAAATCACACAGCAAACCCCACACATTAATAGTGGGAAACTTCAACCCCTACTCTCCACAATGGACAAGTCATCCCAGCAGAAACTAAACAGAAGAATGGCAAGAATGGACATAATGAACCAAATGGATCCAACAGATATTTACAGAACACTTCACCCAAACAGAATAATATACTTCTCAACACCCCACAGAACCCTCTCCAAAACTGACTATATAATTGGTCAAAAAGCAAGTCTCAATAGATACAAAAAAATTGAAATAACCCCCTGTATCTTATCAGATCACCACGGATTAAAGCTAAATTTCAACAACAAGAACTATGGAAAGTCAAGAACTCATGGAAACTGAACAACTCTCGGCTTATTTGACACCAGGTTAAGGAAGAAATAAAGAAGGAAAGTAAACATTTCCTAGAATTCAATGAAAATGAATACACAACATACCCAGAATCATGGGACACTGTAAAAGCGGTGCTAAAGGGACAAGTTCATACCACTAAGTGCCAGCATGGAGAGATCTCATGCTAGTGACTTAATAGTACACCTGAAGGCTCTAGAACAAAAAGAAAGGAACACACCCAGGAGGAGTAGATGGCAGGGAATAATCAAACTGAAAGTTGAAATCAACAAGATAGAAACAAAGAGCACAATACAATGAGATAGAAACAATACAAAGAATCAGTTAAGCAGAGTTTGCTTTTTGAAAAAAGTCAACCAGATAGACAAACCCTTATCCAAACTAGAAGGCAGAGAGAGAATCTCCAAATTAACAAAATGACAAATGCAAAGACAAACAACAACCAACGTCAAATTAAATGGAGAGAAACTCAAAGCAATTCCACTAATATCAGGGACAAGACAAGGCTGTTCACACTCTCCATATCTATTCAGTATAGTACTTGAATTTATAACTAGTATAATAAGACAACTAAAGGAGATCGAGGGGATAAAAACTGGAAAGGGAGAAGTCAAAGTACCATTATTTCCAGGTGACTTGATAATCATGTGACAATCCACAGACCCAGAGAGGCTAGTTAACAAGTAGAACTCAAGAATGAATGCTCATATTGCCCTGGGAAAGGGAAAGAGAAAGATTTCATGAGTGAATTGGGGGCGGGTAAGGATGGGATCATGAGGGATTAGGTTGTGGGGTCGATGGAGGGGAGAATACTGAAAGAGACAACTGGAAAGGGAATGGCATTTCAGAGTCAGTAAGAAACTTGGTGCAAGGGAAACTTCCAGGAATCTACAAGGATGACCCCAGTAAAACTCCTAGCAATGTGGGATTCATAGTTTGAACTGGCCATCCCCTGTGACCAGGCAAGGCTTCTAGTGGAAGGACTGGGACACCAACCCAGCCACATGATCTTTGACCTACAGTCTGTCCTGCCTATGGGATGTGGTGGGGTGCCTATGGGATGTGGTGCCATATTGTGGAAGTGGCCAACCAATGACCAGCCTGAACCACATGCTTCTGAGAGTGAGTCCACCCCTGACTCTGTCTAGAGTGCCAGGACTCAGAGGCAGGATAGCCCAGAGACCTAGGATAGAACTAAACATGACTAGAAAAAAAATGTCAGTGTAATGATGCCTAATGATATTCTGCTATACCAATAGGTTGGTGCCTAACCTAATTGTCATCAGAGAGGTTTCACCCAGTAAATGATAGAAACAGATGCAGAGACCCACAACCAAAAATTAGGCCAGGCTCAGGGAATCCTGCTGAAGAAAGGGAAGAAGGATTGTGAGAGCCAGAGCAGTCGAGGACATCACAAGAAAACCCACAGAATCAACTACCCTGGGATCATAGTAGCTCACAGACACTGGACCAATAGCTAAGGAGCATTCATGGCACAGACCTAGGCCATCTACATATATGTGACAGTGTGTAACTTGGTCTACTTGTGGGTCTCCTAACGGTGGGAACAGGGGCTGTCCCTAAACACTTTGACTGGCTTTTGGGAACCTATTCCTCATAATGAGTTGCCTTGCCCAGCCTTAATACAAGCATGGGGGAGCTTAGTCTTACCTCAGCTTGATATACCACGCTTTGTTTATACCTATTGGAAGCCTGCCTCTTTCTGAACAGAAATGGAGGAGGAGGAGTGGATTGGGGGAGGGAAAGGGAGAGGTGGGAAGAGGGTATTGAAGGAGAGGAGAGAAGGGAAATTCGCCTGGATGTAAAAAATAAATAGATTTAATTAATTAAAAAATTGAGATTCATAGAGCTTCACTAATCTGCCCTAGTAATGCTGATAATAAATAGTAGATTTTAACCTAAAGAAAAATGACATTGTGAAAGATGCAGGTGACAGAATTGCAGGCCCTTTGGATTTGGGTTTGTCATTTTCCCTTTACATCAGAGTCTTTAAGTAAACCTACAACTTCTCATCAGAAAAATAATTAGAAATTTACTTAACTCTACACTGTGAAAATCTGAAGCTCGAATGGATTTTAATAAAGCTCACAGATGTTGAACAGATGAAATAGGACCTGTACTCATGTTTTCTGAAGTTGAACTATATTTTTTCTGTTAATGCATTAATGAATACTGCATAATTTGTCAATAAAATCCCTGCTTTGGAGTCTCCACAACTATTTACATTTTATTTCTGTGCTGGTTTTCTGAATAATTTCCTTTGTCATGGATCAGTAAACCTAATATTTAATTTTCTTTGAGCCAGAAAGAAAAAGTATCTGTCTAATCCATATCATTTAATTAGTGGTTACCGCTAAGATTTATAGCAGTATCATATATGTTAAGAATTAATACATAAAAGCAATTAATTAAGAGGAAACAATTCACCCATTCATTCCATAATCATTTAATGGGATGGTTGGTTTTGCTTTCCATGTGAGGGAATTGTGTTTCACAGTGTAGGAGAAGTTCTGCTAGGAGGAGTGATCGGCATCTGCTCACACTTTATCCACAGTAAGCAAGCAGGGAGAGATGAATCCTGGTACTGAATTCTCATTCTCTTTGTTTTTCAGGCGAGGACCCCAGCACAGAGAACAGTGGGTCTTCCTACCGCAGTCAAACCTCTCTGGAAACACCCTCCCAGACAAAGGACAAATAGGACCTTGTAAAACTAAAACAACTTCTGTCCAGCACAGGAAGCAATCAGTTGAGGGAAAAGGAAGCTCACGGAGTGGAAGATAATCTTTGCCAGCTTTATATCAATGAGATGGTTAATAGCCAGAATATGAAATAAACTCGAAAACAAATAAAACAAGGAAATAAATGAACTCAATTTAAAAATGAGCCCTGCTTCTATCCAATGTATCTTGATCATAGTTAACCCTTACTTCTCACTTCGACTTCTCCCAGGAGTTCCAGCTCATCTCACTGCCAAGTTCATGCCTCCCTTTTATGAATTATTTTATTTGTTTCTTTATTCAAACCAGCTGAGTTTAATTAATTCAGGCTATGTTCGAATGGACACAGGGTTGTGCACTGGGGCATAGGGCACATAGCAGTGGCCACACTCCTAAAGAAAACTAACTCTCTTCTCCCTATTCTTTGACCCTCTCTTCCCCCCGCCCCCACCTAATTTTCTCAGGAGGTCTTGTCTGTTTCCCCTACCTAGGGGAATCCGTGTATGTCTCTCTTAGGGTTCAGGATACTTAAGAAGGGGGAAGGACAGTGAGGGAAAGAAAGAAAAGAGATAAATTGATTGAAGGATCCATTAAAGGGCTAGCTAGAAACATGGAACTAGGGAAATTCCCAGGAATTCACAAGAATGATGCTAGCTAAGACTCTAAACAGTGGAGGGCACACCTAAACTGGTCTTCCCCTGTAATCAGATTGATGACTGTCTTAATTGCCATCATAAAACCTTCAGCCAGCAACGGACTGAAGAAGATGCAGAGATCAACAACTAAACACTGAGCCAATCTACCAGAGACCCGCCCAAGAGAGGGAAGAGTGATAATATGAGCAAAGGGGTCAAGATCATAATGTGGATAACCACAAAAACAGCTGACCTGAGCTAGTGAGAGCTCGCTGATTCTGGGCTGATAACAGGGGAACCTGCATAGGGCCAAACTAAGCCCACTGAATGTGGGGAACAGTTGTGAGGCTTGGGTAGTCTGCAGGGCCACTGGCAGTGGACCAGAGTTTATCCCTAGTGCTGGAACTGGCATCTAAGAGCACGTTATATTTGGAGGAGTACCTTGCTCAGCCTAGATATAGGGGGGAGGGCCTTGGTCTTGCCTTGAAGCGAAGTGTCAGACTTGGGACACCTTACCCTTTCTGAGAAGTGAATGGGGGTAGGGCTGGGGTAAGGGTGGAGTATGAGAAGGAGAGAGAGTGGGAACAGGGATAGCTATACAAAATGAGAAAAGATTGTATTAAAATATTCTTAATAGAAAAAAGAAAACCAACTCTCCCTCCATCTGCAGCCATCACAGGCCAACAGCTCCTCAACTAGGGGTGGGGCTACAGGAACCTGCCCCCTCCCCATGCTTGAATTTTTAACTAGCTTGATCTTGTACAGGTTTCCTCAAATTACCCTTGGCTGCAGAGTATCCATGTGTGCCTTAGCCATGTCAAGGGATGTGATCTGACATGGTCTTTAGGAAACAACTGAATAATCTTTGGACCAAATGCTAAGAATTTAACACTGTACAGGGTATATAGTAGCAGCTCAAAAGAGAGTAGTAAGTTTCATAGAATGGATCAAGAGGTTGTATTATGACCATTATTTTATAATAATAAATATATTATAATTATATTTATCATTATCTATTATATAATATAATAATAAATATAAATGATTTAATATTTAAGTAGAGCATATATTTATTTATTAATAACATTAGGTTACAAATCAGGCTGTCTGTCTTGGAGTCCCAGTTGCATTGTTTGGGTTCTGTTAATCAAACATTGTCTTTGTGAACATTAGAAATAAATTAGAAATAATACCTATTCTTTGTCATTGTTATTGGAAGAAGCAAATCAACTGTGGTGGCTTGAATGAAAGTGCCCCATAGACTCATACAGAGTGGCACTATTAGGAGATGTCGCCCTGTCAGAGTAAGTGTGGCCTTGGAAGAAGTGTGCCAGGCCCAGTGTCTCTCTCTTCCTGCTGTCTACAGATCCAGATGTCGAACTCTCAGCTACCTCTCCAGCACCACATCTGCCTGCATGTTGTCATGCTTCTCACCATGTTAATAATGGACTAAACCTCTAAGACAGACCCAAGTAAATGCTTTTCCTTTATAACTGTTGTCACAGTCATAGGGTCTCTTCATAGCAGTAGAATCCCTAAGTAAGACACCAACTAAAGTTGAAAACACACTTCAAACAGGACCCAGCTATCGCACACACAAAGTACAATACCTATTAGCATTAGTGTAACACACCAGAGAGGTAATGTAAACTCCCTGGAGATCTAATCTCTTCTTTCCTGTGATATTGGGGTCTTGGGTTAAGGAATTCTTCTGTAAAGACAGAATCCGAACTGTCCTATAGAAAACTGGTCTGACAATAGCAGAATAGTTCTACTTGGAGAGAAGACTACAGTTAAGGGTACTTTATGAAGTATTTTTATGGCCACTTAAAGGTCTTCATGGCTCTAAGGTGTCACCATGGGGTAGATATAAGTTTATAAAGTGCAAAAAAGTATAGTGATAGATACCGTGATAGATACCTCTTTTCTTAGTCAGTCATAAATTGGTCCTTTCCCCAGATAGTCAGAACGTCACACACTCAGCCTGCATTCTACTCTGATTGCCTGACCCATTCTTCTCTTCTCTTTTTGGATTACTCATGTTGTTTGAGTCCCTGGTCCACTTATATTTGGGAATAAAAAGAACCATCTCTTATATCACTGATAGTTCGTGCCTGATACGTGATAGATGTCCTGAAGAAATATTAATGTCAGAATGGGTACGGCTGGTTTCGGAGTAGCTTCTGCAGTGGAAAAGAGGGTGAGCTGTGATGAGTTGTGGCAGTTGTTTGGGTACCAGGCTGTATTTCCTAGAACGGACTCCTTCCAAATGGCCTTGCAAATTCTCAGTGAAGACAGATAGGTATAAGTGTATGAATAAAGGCAGCAGTTACGATGTAGACTGAGAGGCAGATACTATTTTTCAGACCAGAAACACAGTCCACACGTGCTATCTTGGGAGCAGGTAAATCACAGTTCAAGCACCATTAGAAACTCAGGCACTGGGTCTTTTCGTTCTGTTCAGCGGGGTTCCCTGGCAATGCTGCTTTCAATATTCTGCTAAAATCATAGTCTCTGTAAATGAGAGAACTGTATGGATTGCTTTAAAAAATGGATACTTCTTTTTAATTATCTATTGTATCTTTTTAGTTCAGAGATGTTTACTATATAAGGGTCAGTTTGTGCCAGGAAAGCTAAGAGGTCTGTAGGAAAACATTCCTGCATTTTTAATTTGTAACAATCTTGCCATTACTACATATTCAGTTGTGCAAAATCTACAGAATAGAAAAGTCCAACTTAAATCAATATTTAAATTTTCAACCAAGCTTGAGCCAGTTTTTCATCTTTCAAGACAATTCATTATCGTTTTGTCTATTCAGTAATTATTTAACTATGTGTGTCTTAAATTTGACTTTTGTTGTCTAGTTAATGTAATAGAATTCTGAGAAAGTATTTAATGTTCTTTATTTAAGCATTCTGTATTTTAATCTTCTCAGAGAATACATTTCAAGAGTTAATTTAACAAGTTGTTTTTTCCTGAGTGGTAACTGTGGAAATAGGAAATTTTATTGTTGGAAAAAGAGGCTGTGAAGTTTTGTAATTTAAAATTATCTATAGGAAGTATACTAACTATTTAGAGTAATAATTAAAAAATAGAGTGATGGTGATGAAGACAGATATTATTTATTTATTTTCTGGAATCTGAGTCACTATGTTCAATAGAAATGCAAGTGCAGTGATACATAGTTTCCATATGTCTGACCAGACTATATACAGATGCTATCAACTCCTGGGGAATGTGATTTATAAAAAACAAACACCAAGAGATGAAAGTCCTTCATATGGAGCTTTTGAAAAAGTACCAAGCACTTCAAAAAACACAGAAAACACAAGTTTGATTATTGAAGTTCCAGACTTTCAAAACTTAAGGTTCCAAAAGATCCCTAGCATTTTCAGCATCTGAAAACAAAGCATACTGCAGCTCTGTTCCAGCCACCCTGGGTCCAGCTGAGGTTGTGACTAGTTAAATGAATTCCAATAGTCTGGTTCACAATCCTCGATTTGAAGCAGCCAGGAAAAGAAGAGCCAGAAAGCAACTGCAGATTGAATGTTTAGTCCTAAGGAATAACCCAGAGTTCATACGAGGAACTATGGGAAAGAGTAAATAGTAGAGAAAGATCAAATGAGGCAGCAACTTGGCAGGATTAGAATAATGAATAGCTGCACGGTCAAGTTTGAAATAAAACCAAGGTGTATTGATAAAGCAAATAAATACTAAGGACAGACTTGGAGCAAGTTCATGGAGTTCCAGGCTAAAAAGCTACAGTTTGGTAGCCAAATATGACTAAAAGGGAGTATCTTCTAAAGTACTTAAAAGGGGTTCTACTCCACAATAAACTGCAACATTTCCCTAAATTCTGTTTTTACACACCTGGAGCTTTTCACTCCCTATTCCAATGCCGTCAAGTTTCTCAGTTTCTTAGATTTAGAGTATATCTCAAGTATTACTTAGGATATATTGACACTTAAAATTTTTAATATTTTTCTGTTCAAATTCAATGACAACTCTCTTTTAAGTATCTGTATTGATCATACATGTACATGTGTACTTAAGTACACTTGTATGTATGTATGTATGTATGTATGTATGTATGTGTGTGTATTTTTCCCATCTGAATATAGTTACCACTCCTGTTACTTATTGTGTAAGAACTGAACTTCAACCTTTTAGATTTCTTCTATAACCAAAAATCCTCTATATTTCTCTGTTCCTTTTTCTGTTTGCAACTTATTGCGTTTGTTTTGTTTTATTTTATTTTAGTGTGTGTGTGTGTGTGTGTGTGTGCACGCACACACACACACACACACATACCACAGAGCACATGTGGAGGTCAGAGGACAACTTGCAGAAGTTGGTCTTCTTCAACCATGTGGCTTCCATGAATCGAATATATGTCTGAATATGAGAGACCTGGATACAGGGGTCTTTATCTTCTGAGTAATCTCACCATCTCCTACTAAAACAATGGTTTGTAAACCATT